CATCCAGTGGTGGGTGTTTGAACATGATTGTTAAACATTTGCCCTTAAAAAAAAAAAAAGATAGTCTATTATAATCATAGATTAAATTAAGTGCATGTTTAGAAATTGAAATTTTGAAAATGGTGATATCATTGGAAACTAGTAGATTTTGACTCTTAACTATTTCCTTCTTTTAAACAACCAGCCTTTGTACATAAGTGATTACTATTTAGGTACTTCCTATGTTACTTAACTTTAATTGAATTGTTAACTTTCTATGTGGAATATTATAAATGGTTAGAATTTTTAAAAATCTAATCATTGTGAGCGATAAACCTTTGAGAAATTGAAAGCTGTTGGCCATATTGTCTTAGTGCTTTTAGGAAACTGTTTAGATATGTTGTATTGTGAAGTAGAGGCTAAGCTACCTCCAAGTATAAAGTGGGTCTCTATCTAGTGGTATCATTTTATCTATGACTTGATGTTGTAATGTTGTAATGAGTAGATGTTTGTGGGCTATGAACTTAATCATATAAAAAAATTCACTTATTTGTTCTTTCTGCTCTTTCTTCCCCAGGCTGGTGCTTGAGTTCAATCTCCTGTTTTACGCTTTTGGCAACTTTCCGACGGTTTTTTGGAGCTGGTGGGGCATGTTCCTATCTACACTTGGAGTTCCTTATTTCCTCTTTGTCTCTTGGGCCAATGGATACCAGAAGAGCTCCTACCCTGTGCTCCGAACTCTCTTCTATGGCTCACTTTTCATTTTCTTCCAGCTTGGAGGTTTAGGTTTTGTACCAGCATACATTGCATTAACCTATACCCCGGCACCAGCTTCCCGGATCATTCTTATAAGTGAACAGGTAAGGTTTTGAAAGTGTTGTCCAAAGCAGTGCTCTGCTCAGTTAAAGTGAAACCAACCATACCAATATCTGTTATTTTCAGCTATAGTAACTTGGGTACATTACCTTATCTGGTTTGTTACACAATTATATATAAAATTGTGCTCTCCTCTGAAAAAAAAATTAAAATGTTAATCTAGATTATCTTATCTTTTAAGAAATTATACTTAACTATTATGGATACACTAAAATTTGAACTAGAGGTTTATTATTAAAATCATCTAGATTATAAAGATATTTCGGTAATTAAATACTACTTTTTGATGTCAAATCATTGTTTTTATTATTGATTTGCATTTAAATAAAGGGTTTACAATATATACTCCAGTATAAGCCTACCTGAATATCAGCCGAGACACATAATTTTACCACAAAAACTGCATTAAAAATGTGCTGAAAAACTCAGCGTATATAAGAGTATATACAGTATTTTAATTTAATTTTGACTTACTGGCTTTTTAAAAATCATTTTATTGAGGGCTCCTACAGCTCTTATCATGATACATCCATCCATCCATTGTGTCAAGCACATTTGTCCATTTGTTGCCATCATCATTTTCAAAACATTTTCTTTTTACTTGAGCGCTTGGTTTCAGCGCCTTGTTTTTTTCCCTCCCTCCCCCACCCTTCCTCCCTCACGAACCCTTGATAATTTATAAATTATTATTTTTCATGTCATACACTGACCGATGTCTCCCTTCACCCACCTTTCTGTTGTCCGTCCCCCTGGGAGGGGGTTATATGTAGATCATTGCAATTGGTTCCCCCTTTCTCCTCTACCTTCCACTTCTCCTGCCTTATTGGCTTTTAATAATTGTGATCATAGTTTTAAAATCAGAGCAACACTTAAATGTTACATGAGATCGTATGAGTAAAATAGAATAAAAGTAAAGAGCAATACCTTTTAAACAGATTTCAAAATTAAAAACTCAAGCAATGTCCCTATATGATGTCAAAATACTGTATAGAAAAAAGTATGGTCTTTGTTTATTTTGACTAAGGGGAAGACCACTTCATTAACTTTATTTAAGTTCACCGCTGCTGTGTGGAATTGATTACGACTCTTAGCAACATTGTCAGGCAGAGTACAACTGTCTCATAGGGTTCTAGAAGCAGATGACCACGTCTTTGTCCCACGGAGTATCTGGTGGGTTTGAATGACTGACCTTTTAGTTAGCCAACCAGGCACTTAATCACTTTCCATGCAGTGCTTGTAGAGCAGTGCCTCACAACCCGCCTAATGCTGCGACCCTGTCATACAGTTCCTCATGTTGAGGTTACCCCCCAACCATAAAATTATTTTCGTTGATACTGCATCACTGTAATTTTGCTACTGTTATGAATTGGGCGACCCCTGTGAAAGGGTCGTGTGACCCCCCAAAGGAGTCACAACCCACAGGTTGAGAACTGCTGTTTTAGATGGAAAGTAATTTTAGAGTTCATAAC